CATACATGGAAGAGGTCAAGGTGTAGGTTAAGATAGGCCCAACCGGGTACAGGCGGTCGGAAGGCTTCCTCATATAAGGTTGACCCCTTCATTTGTGGATGGATGGATGTAGAGAAAGCAGGGGTTTTCCTCCCAATGGAACATCACAACACCAAAATGGGGAGGAGGATTCAGTTGAATAAGGTCGAGAACCCTCCCCTTGTCAAAGCGAAAAAGAGATGGGAGGAGGTCATTCCTCACGTCCCGTCAAACGATCAATTCTTGAAGCTATGGGAGCAGCGGTGCCACCTACCGGAGCAAAAGACCGTCATCCTTTTATGGTTGCAGTCCATGCAGGCGATCCCTTCAGCAGCTTCGCTTTCTACTAAAAGGATTCCTCTTCCATAAGCCTGCTGTCGCTGTGACGGGGCCATTGAGACTACTGATCATCTCTAAATTGGTTGCAAAAAAAGAAAAACATTGATACTTGCCTCAGCGTTACCTCTGAATTCCGTACCAAATTTGAAATAAAAATAAAATAGGAAAAACAAATAGTAATAAGAAAAATAAGAAAAAATGAAACGATAATTAAAATTAGTGGGTGGGCAAGCACATTTTCGACACAACCATCTTTGCCGATTTTCATTTTTTGTTCGGATAGCCAAATGCCCGAAAAGTTGTGAAAACCTACGTAGCACCATGCTCGCGTTCGGAGGCGAACACGAACATGTTCGCCCGAACGCGAACAAGCGCCCAAAATCCTCCGAACACGAACATAAAAAAAAAAAAAAAAAAAAAGTTATCCAAAACATCTGAAAAAATTGTATGTTATGTAAAACGACAACACAAGCAACTTTTGCCTTGGAGTCATGTTCAAATTCGTGGCCAATCATGAGTTAAAAATAAAAAACCGAAAACAAAATTATTTTTTATTTTTATTTTTTTTACGAAAAAAATTACGTTCGCCCGAACATGTTCGCGACTTGTTCGCGCGAACATGCGAACACGTTCGCGCGAACGTGAAGGGGTGCGAACACGTTCGCCGTGCTACGCAGGTGAAAACATACATATGTGTATTTCACACAATATAAATCTCATGGAAAAAGTTTCAGAAAGTAATAAAATATTTGAGGCACCAAAATAAAATCAAACACAAAGTAAAAAGTGAAAAAAAAAAACACAAATAAAAGGGCCTTTGCGATTCAGACCCCAAATGAGTGCCCCAACATAGTGAGGCCTGATGAACATAGCTTAATTTCACGTGTAGCATTCCAAAAGACAAGTACTCTTAGGCAAAGTTCACATCCGAATGAAAAGGAAAAGTCGTGTGGAAAGTCACAGTCAGGTCCTGGACCAACAGGCACCGTGTTTTATTTTAGTGCTAAGGATAAGGTCGCGTATGTTCAATAGTAAGTCAAAGGTCGCAGTCCCAGGCCAGTCACAGTTCCCTGGGTCACGTCTGATTCAGTCAAGAAGTCCAAGAGACAGGCCCGACGACCACAACAGCAGGAGACCATGGGAAAGGGTACTGGGACACACATTTTGCATCAACAGGTACTGGGTTAGAGTCCCAGGTGAAGGGAGGCTGGACGCAGACCTTATTCAGTCAGTCCAATTGTATAAAGGACCAGACCAGCCTCCCATTCGGCAAAGACTCATTGGCATGAGAGTGTGGAAGTGCTGAGGCACTTGCGAGCCAGAATGCTAGTGAACTGCGTAGGCTAGAGAGCTGCACTAAGGAAGAAGAAGGAAGCTGACCGCTGGTTGAGAGAAGAAGCCATAACTGCGCTAGTAGAAGTTAGTAGCAGTAGAAGGGTTAGTACTAGGAGTACCAGTGAGTAGTATTCAAAGTAGATCGTCATGTGACGAGGAGTGTGCATGCGAGATGAGTGTGAGTAGACCAGGACTTTAGAGAGAGACTGAGAGAAGAAAGACAAGGAAAGAAGAGAGAGAAAAAAGTTATGGTGTTACTTACCTGTTGCGCGCCATTCTTGATGATTGGCCGCTATCAGCGTCAGGCCAGGAATTCACATTGAATGAAGAAGACTTGTAATTATGTGTGGGCTATACGTTTTTGAACTCGTGATTCTCTCTATTAAATTTGGTTGTGATAATTGAATTGCGCTATCGGGTGACCACTCATTTTACTTTGAGCTTTGAGTGAGGCTACACAATTTGTGTGATTTGTATTCATGCATGCAATGTGAAACACTCCAGCAAGTGGTGAAGAGTCGGGTTCCTTGTAAATTTGGTATCAAAGTAGAACTTGTTACTCTCACTAGCTGCACTGGCATGATTAAGGCCGGCGAGAAGGAGAAGAATATGCTGGTTTGAGGTTGTTGGCAATAGGAGAATAGAAGGAAGGACGTTGGATTGGAATTGAGGGGGAAGATTGTCGAAGAAGAAGGTGCTGAGGAGGTGAAGAATTACTTGCGAATTGGACCGTTGGAGCGAACGTGGAGACTTCATCGACGGTTACAAAGAAGAGAAGCACCTTCCACCCTCTTACCTGGTTGACTGTGAATATGTGTGTCATCTACCTACCTTCCCCCTCCTCTCTGGTGGCCGCTGCTGCTGTCAGGTCAAACACCTCTGGTCTGGTCTGGTCTATAGGTCAGGGTTGTGGAGTCTGGGTTATGTTAGAGAGACTCGGAGTAAGTGTATGGTCTCATCGCCTTGACATCTTGTCTGATAAGTGGTAGAACTGTCTCTTATACACATCTAGATGTGTATAAGAGACAGCCTCTCTGGTGGCCGCTGCTGCTGTCAGGTCAAACACCTCTGGTCTGGTCTGGTCTATAGGTCAGGGTTGTGGAGTCTGGGTTATGTTAGAGAGACTCGGAGTAAGTGTATGGTCTCATCGCCTTGACATCTTGTCTGATAAGTGGTAGAAAGATAGGATTGAACTGGGAGTGGTGGCAGTGTGCCACGCAAGATTACAGGTGACACATGCCGTGAGCGAATTGATCTAAATCGAGGTACTATTCCAGTATATCTGACATTGTGATAACTCCAGTCAACTCTTGCGCATAAAACCTGTCATCCATATTAATTAGTACTTGTAAAGAAACACAACCAGACAAACGCAAGCATAAGGAAAGGTGTCGAAGTGAAAGACAGGCAGCAAACAAAAAAAATAAAATTATATTCTGCGTTTGATTAGCAAAAGTTATATTTATGAAATTCATTATTTTGAAGCAACGACATCTAGACTTAAAAAAAAAAGACCCCATCCGCTCAGAAAGTAGACTAGGATCCAGGTAGATGCTTGGTGGGACAGTGGAGGCCACCCCTGTGCAGCACCCCATCATGGATAACTATCCAAAGTTCGGTATGGTGACCCTCTCCATTATGTTGGGGCGACTGTACAACCTCTTCTTCCCCCTTGGCTTCGGGAGGGTGTGCTTCTCCCATATGATGATGAGATGAGGCAAGATGAAGCAAGGATTGTCTGCAGCAGAACAAACAAAAGTGGATAGCCGCATGACAGAGAAGCAGAAAGAGAAAGAATTAAAAAACAAACAAAAAGAAGAATAGGTAAAGAAAGTAAAGGAAGAAAGAGAAAAATTAGAAAAAGAAATGAAGGAGAAAGAAAAAAAGTTGCAGGAAGAWTTGAAGGTGGTTGAAGAAARAGAAGAAGAAGAAATTGAACCAGAGAATGRTGAGAGACMGTACAGACACCGAACAAAAAAGGGTGAGACCAGTGAAACTCGTGGCATAAGAATAAAGTTGGAAGCTATGAACGGGTTGGACCAATTTGGCTATAAGGCAGAAATGTTTGTTAAGTCAGATAAAGAGAGGGATATTTTTATCACAAAATTGGCCAAAACCGCAGATCATGCGGAGAAAAATACCATGTTGCAAGAAAAGAAAGCAGAACTAAATAATAAAATGGTGGCTGTAAAAAGGCAGGAAATTTGAAGAAAATAAAAGACTGAAGGAAGAGTGGGAGAGGTTTCAGCGGCAATCGCAAGAGCAAAAGGAACAATAAGCTTCCACAGATGAACGACTGTCCCTCCTCACCGATATCCTCCTCCACACCAACAAAGAACTCACTGCGTTGTCAAAGCACGTGCACAAAGTAGAACACCACCAGTTTGAATTTGAAGGCGTTTGGAACTCCTTTCTGCATAGATCTGAATAGGAAGTAGATAAACATATAATAGTCTGTGTATAAAAATTAGATGAACAAATAAACAAAAAATTATCTGACCCCGCCATAGTAAAGAAACTAGTGGGTGGCGGCGGAGGAAATGGAGGAGACGAAGATAAAGATGGTGGGGATGGAGACAAGAAAAAGGGAGTGCAACAATCAGAATCAGGGGATGTAAGGAAGATTAAAGTAAAAGTATCGTGGACTTACACAGGCAAAAAGGAAGAAAGTGTATTGCATTGGATTGCGGTAGTTGAGTCCTATGTCTATGGGCAGCGTATACCGTATTGGGAGAAAGTCCTGATGGCCAGTTCGTGTATGGCCGGAGATGTCATGAGTTTTGCAACGACCATTTCGTCAAAATGGATTTTTTCTTTTTTTTAACGAAATTGAAACTGAGTTATTTTGCCGAAAAATCGTAAAACTTTGTTGTTCCTGAACGGTGGACCCCCTGGTTGTACATGGACCAGGCACCTCCAGGCAGGACTGTCTGGAGGTATCTGGTCTCAAGCTAGGTCCATGTACAGCCAGGGGGTCCATCGTTTTACAAACGTCGGACCCTCAAGAACAACAAATTTTTACGAGTTTTTGACAATAAAACTCGGTTTCAATTTCGTTCAAAAAATAAATGATGTCTATTTTGACGAAATGATAGTTTTGCAATCTCGTTGCAGAAAGAAGCAGGTTGTCAATCCATGGTGGAATACTCCCAGCGAACGCGAATGAAATATTTCTTTAAAGTCGTTTGAGAAAGGTTTGCGGACAAAAACACACAAGTTTTTGTCTCGTATGCCCTGCACACGACCAGTGACCTGGCCGACTCACAGGATGGTCGTTCACATGCACTTGGAAGTTTGAAGGAGTGGTGGCTGTAGCATGCCGGCATTAGGAACTCCCTGCATCGACAGACACTGCGGTCACTGGCGCGTAGACAGAGTGGCATTTGTCACTGCTTACCAGCTGGTTTGTCTCTTCGCTCCTTAATCGGTGAAGTTGGCGCGGGCAAGGCCAGCACGTCGAGAGCTCGAGTGCCGACGACAGTTTTTTTCGGGGATGTGACATCTTGTCGTCCCTCGATCTCCCCTTCTCCTCCACTGACGATCGTCGGCGGCAGCATCGGAGAGTTCGTCGGCGAGAAAGCCACGACAGTTCCCCCGGAAGGTTTGACGTCGAGAGGGTCGTCGACACCAGGCGTCGAGGACGGCTGCGCGGACATGTGGTGGTCACCCAGGATGCCGTCGATAACTTCTTCGATGTCAATACGCACACTCGGTTTAGTCAGGCTGACTGCAACACGAGCTTCATTGAACCGGTGTTGGAGATTGACGACAGACGTCATTGCTTCGACCTCATAATCATCACGTTCTGCCAAAAAGCTTGTGACCACCTGTGTCTCCATATTCAGTGTCGTGTCATCGTCGTCGTCGTCTTCCTCGCGATGTTCTCCGTACAACTGCCCGAATCCGTCAGACCACTCCCCAGATATGTCATCGTCGTCGCCGAACGTTTGTTTGTCGTCTCCAGTATCGAGCTCACCATTTTCCCCGTCCTTCCCTCCTAGCAACCCAACCAACTCCGTTTCTTCCCCTTCCTCTCCTTCCTCCCCTTCATCCTCTTCTTCCTCCCCTTCCTCCCCTCCTTCCTCCAATTCCTCCCCTGTGTCTCCTTCCTCCCCTTCCTTCTCTTTGTCCATAACCCTGCCTTCTTCCCGTGCATGCATTCTAGCCACTTCGCCCGAACCTGTGTCGAATTCCGACGAATGCCCTTCCTTCCGGCTGCACGCAACCCCTCCCGCCGGCACCACAATCCCTGGTTGGCCCCCCTTGCCTGAAGAAGTTCGGATCCCGGCGAACTTCGTCGTCTCCCTATCGTCGGGCCCTCCACACGTACCCTCTCGCTCCGACCGAAGCGGTTGGCGATCCCCCGCAGGTGGCGCAGTCCCGTCCCTCACTGCACCGCTGTCTATTTTGGGATCACGACGCGCCACCCCCGCTCCTGACCAGCTCTGCGCGTCTGTCCTCTTTGTCCGCTCTGCAAGCATTGAAGTTCGGATCTCGGCGGACTTGAACGTTTCGACCGAGCCGGCACGGAGAGCAACCAAGGCCGCCATCACCGAGCCGGCGGATGAAGTGGGCACGTCCGCTGACTGCGCCGAGCCTTCTGGACCGGGACCGGTAGACTGCTGACGCCCGAAGGCCTCCCTCGCCACCCCGCCGCTGCCTTCCGCTGTCGTGGTGTCGCCCTGAGACCCGCCCTCCGAACCAGGCGGGACTCCTTTGCCGCCACCAGCCTCGTCGCCCTCGTTCTCCCCACCGTCCGGTCCCCGGGACCCTGCACTTACATGCGTCCCACTGGGAGGGGGGATTTTCCAGTCCACCCTTCCCTTCGAGGGGCTCGTATTGAGGTCGTAGTAGTCCTCCGTCAGCTCCAACCAGCACTTGTCCTGAAGTTCGGCGAACAATCGCCCGACTGTGGAAATGACGGACACGTCTTCGGGTGCGAAACAATCATTCTCGGCCCTCACTTTCTGGAGGACCGCAATTCTAGCGACCTCGAGGAAGTCAGACTTCGACCCGCGGGGGAGGGGCATCCATCCTCCGTCTGGGACAGCGACGGCCACGATCCACTCACCCGTTTGGATCGCTGGCTGGATGACTCCTGGATGCCAAATCATGTCATGGCCTCAGTCCGCCTCGGTGGAACGACTTTGAAGCTCAGGCAGAAAGTGAATGTTGGCATCCTTCCAAGACAGATGATCGGCCGGGATGTCAGACCCGGGACGCAGTGAATGATGGCCGGAGGCCAGAGCTTGCAGTCTCTGCATCAACTTCATCGGGGTAGTGCCAGGCGCCGGTTTCGCCATCGGTGACGCGAGGGACGCCGGGCTTGTTGACGGACCTGCCAAGGACGACCCTGTAGCGTGCTGTGCGGGATGTGGGTCGTACTGCAGGTCGAGGCTTTCGGTGTCGCTGCCCTCCTCGTCCGCGGTCGCGTCGAACTCGATGTCGGTGGTCTCCTCGTCTTCCGTGGAGATCAAGGAGGAGTAACTGCCGAACGTCAACTCCTCCTCTGACTCCACGAAGTACAGGGACTGCAACCTGTCGAGGAAGGTCTTCACGTTCATGCGGGAGGCGCCGTGGTAGTTGTCGAGCAACGTGAATAAGTGGTCCTTGCGGCGCACGTACTCGGCGTCAGTGTCTCTCTTCTGACGAAGTGCTCGTGTTTCAGCGCGCTTTCCGATTCGCGCTGTCGCACGTCGAGTTTCGCCTTGTCGACTAACGGAATCGGGGTTTGGAAGGGTTGGAAGGGGGGGGGGTGTCTTTCAACCATTTCCGCATTCGACATGTTATTTTCGGAAATCTAACCGTGGGAATCTAATCGTCCTTTGTGTGAGGCGTGGACCTTTGCGTGCGACTTGATTGCGGGAGGAGTATTGGTGCGCAAAATTCCTCGCCGTCTGGAATGCCCTTGTAGGGGTTTATGGGGGTTGCCGTCGGTGGCAGCAGACGTGTCCGTTGGCGGTCTGCCGTCGATCCCGACGTGTTCTGGTAGTTGGAGGCCCGAGGGTGCGCAAAATGCTCGCTTCAAGAAATGGCTTGTGGGGGTTTATGGGGGGTGCGGCCAAGCATCGACTGTTTCTGTGCAAACGCCAACCACCCGTTCCAATAGCTGCAGCCACGCGAAAAGCAGTTACTCGCTGCACTCGCATCCGCCAAGTTCGGATCTCGGAGGACTTTGAGCATCTGCGGGAATCCAACCGTCCTTCACATGACGCGTGGCCCTTTGCGTACGACTTGATTGCGGGAGGAGTATTGGTGCGCCAAATTCCTCGCCGTCCGGACTGCCCGTGTAGGGGTTTATGGGGGTTGTCGTCGGTGACAGCAGACGTATTCGTTATCGGTCTGCCGTCGATCTTTGCTGGCCCTTAAGGGTTTGAACCATCGCGGTGCGCGGAGTCTTGGCGTGGACGTGCTCGTGTTTCGGCGTGCTTTCCGGTTCGCACTGTCGCACGTCGTCGTTCTTAGCGCACGATACGGGGTTCGCCTTGTCAACTTGCCGAATTGGGGTTCGAAAGGGTTGCAAGGGGGGGGAGGGCTTTCATCCATTTCATCCGGGCAACGGAGAAGTGCGAGTTCCACAAACTCTGCTACTAGCACAGCGCGAGCTCGCTTAAACGACGATGAGAATAGGTGTCTACAAGGGTCAATTTGGGGTCGCGCTGCGCCGATTTGTCTGCTGGTGCATCCACCACTACCCTTTGTTCTGCGAGTGCTATCGCACAACGACCACTTGAGAGCGCCATGGCCTTCCTTCTGTGCGCCCGAAAATAGCGTTCCTTGCGTGCCCCCGCTGACGCTCCCTTCAAATGGCACCGGCCGCGCGAAAACCGGTTCCTTACTGCTCCAATGCCCGCCAAGTTCGGATCCCGGCGAGCTTCGAGGCTCTGCGTGATTCAGACCGTCATTTTCAAAGGCTTGGACTTCCCCGTGCGTTTTCATTCGCGGAGGTCTGGTGGTGCGCAAACGTGTTCGTCTTGCGGATTGCCCACGACGGTTTCAGTGCCCGGGTCCAAATGCGGTCTGCCGTTGATCTTCGTTGCCCTCCGATGAAAAGAATCATCTCGACACGTGAGGTTCAGTCGCCGACATGCTTCTGCCTCGACGTGCTTTGCGGTTCGCGCGGTCACGTGTCAACATTGCCATCGCATAAGACGAAGATCGCCTTCTCATTTTTGCGGACCGGGATTTGTTGGGGTTTCGGGGGGGTCTTCCATCCATGGTTGTAATTTTCTTCTCCACGCCGCCTGGATCCTGGAGTTGCGCGCTGTTCTACCTTTACCTTTCGAAATCGGCTTGTTTGGTCGATAGGGGTAATCGGTGTTTACAGGGGTCTCTTGGGGGCCGCGCTGCGATGACTTGTGAGGTGCTGCGCCCACGACTAGCCTTCGTTCTGACAGCGGCAGAGCGTGGTAACGAGGTTCGGATCGCGGCGAACTTTCCAGTTCCGGGTGGTGCTAATTGTCCTTTTCCGCGGCCTGGTCCATCGCGTGTGTTGTTATTGTCGGGGACCCATGGATGCGCAATCAAGCTCGCCGTGTGCGTTGCCGTGGTTGGGGTATATAGGGGTAGCTGACGGTGGCAGTCATTATTGTCGTTCGCGTGCGGAGGCGCTTCGATGTCGAAGCCGTGCGGGCTGCAAAGGCTTTCAGTCCAGACACACAACCTCCGAATCAACGTGCAGTTACTCGGGGGTTGTGGGGGTCGGCTGAGGGTTATTAATCCATGTTATTGTTTGTCTTCTTCCTCTCATACCCATGCTTTTGTTACGACGATTGGCCGACAGTCACTGCACGGTGACCCGTTCATGACAGGTTCGCAGTCGATTCTATTTCTGCCAAGTTCGGATCCCGGCGGACTTCTTTGCTTCGCGACAGTTGAACCGTTCCTTGTGCACGTCTAACTCCTGATAGGACACGTCCTTCTGGCAGCATAACACAAACAAGAACGTATCGCCAAATTAACAACAAAGATTCCCGCCTTCCATGTGTGGCAATTTGGCTGTAGAGGTTGTGATCGCCTGCAGACGAGCTCGCCCTGTTCGGCTGCTGCGCTGGGAGTCGGCTCTGTGGAGGGGGGGGGGGGGGGGGGGGGGGGGGGGGGGGGGGGGGGGGGGGGGTGTGGGGGGGGGGGGGGGGGGGGGGGTCGGCCCTTTATTCTGTAGTAATCGTGCTTACAGTTTGCTCCGCTGTTTTGCAGGGTGTCGAGACGAATTCGAATGACCCGTTCAATCCGCACTGGATAGTTTAATCGGTTTCTCTGACGAGAATCACATCCGCTGCACAGACGGTTACATGACGACGCCAAAGACGGCTCGGCGAACGGCCGCATGAAACAAGATATGAAAACTGGAGAAGCCGTCGACTTGCATTGCCAGCTACAACACCTGGAATTGGCCCCGACGAGCTCTTCGGACAGTTCGCCGTTCCAACAGTCCATTGCAGATTTTCCCAGAAAAAGAAGTTTAGCTTTTTGTGAGAGCTTTGGAGGTTGCATCCAAATGCCTACGGATTTGGCGACAACGTCCGCGGGTGAAGAACCGTCTGCCTCCAGGATCGAGTTCCACTTTCCTGGCGAGTGCACCCCACAACTTCGGCGCACAACACTTGCGTGCCAATGGGTGCTTCTTACGCAACATCTGATGACGAAAGTGAGAAGTTGGTGCCCACTGATTACTCGTGTGGACAACAGTCCTCTTCCAGTGGACCTTTGCTCCGCGCTATCTCCGGTAGTACGGAGTTGGTTGCCACCGACCATTCTTTGGAGGAAGTTTCCACAGCACGGGCGAGTCCAACGCAAGTGTGAAGTGATGATGCGATTCCGATTCAGAGTCAGTCTGTGTCAGAAACGTCTGACAGGGGTGATGCAGAGAGAAAGGCGATACTGCAGATTTTGCCCGCACCTTTGCCAGGCGAAAGATGAACGTAGAGCATGGCTAATAGGAACGCTAGGAGGAAAGAACAGTACAAAAGAGCGAGAAACATGCTGTCCGAAAAAAGACTGCTCATGGTACGAGGCATGACATGTTGCAAGGCTCGATGTTGTTACGACATGTTGCCTGAGGAAGTGTGAAAGCTTAGACAAGGACTGTACAGTAAGAGTCCGGTAGAGCGAGCTGAGTGGTGGATGAAAAGTATTAAGGATTTCACAGTGAATGAGGGTGGAGAGAGACGTGTCCGCCCTGTGGAGTTGGAACGTTCGATGAGCGTCAAGGCGTACTGCAATGTACTCGGTGTCTCCAGTAATACATTTTACAGCTACAAAAAGCGTTTCGACAATGGTTACGTGCGTTCCGGGCATGGCCTGGCGGGGAAATATCGGCCAACCAGTAAAACGGTCGCCATGCTTACCAGCATTAGAACGTTCCTCAAGTGTCATGTGGATAGCATGCCAAATGAGGTGGCTAACGAAGGTGGGGTTTCCAGACCGAAGGTTCGACTCCCGGCTGTTTTTACGAAGCGATCAATTTATGAGTCAATCAAATCAGACTTTATGGTTGTTGGCCTCGCTGTCGTGTCTGAGTCCAACTTTTATAAATTGTGGCGGAAATACTTTTTCCACGTTTTCCTTGCGCACTCTAACACGTTCACGAAGTGCGTCGTTTGTCATGAGCTGAAGGAACGTATACAGTATGCTGCTCTTCCTCGAGATCGAGAACAAGCTCAAGAGGATATGGAAGTTCACCAAAGGAGGCAAGTTGAACACAGATTGGACTATAGTCGAGCGAAAACTGATTCGATGGTCCGTCCGAACGAGGGTTTGTGTCTCATCATTGACGGCATGGATCAGAAGAAAACAACTATCCCCCATATTGGTCAGGCAAACTACTCGAAAGCACTTAGGCATGAGATGATGATGAAGACGAATCTGACAGGCGTCATTGCACACGGTAGAGACCATAGTGTATATGTATACACGTGGTTTCCGTATTTCAAACACGATTCGAACACGGTCGCGACTTGTGTTATGAGAACCCTTGTCGAAATTCAAGGGAGCGGGACGTCACTGCCACGATGTTTGCGCATTCAAGCGGATAACTGTTGGCGGGAAAACAAGAACAAGTACATATGTGCGATGGCTGCATTGTTGGTTAAGTTCAAAGTTTTCAAAGAGGTAGAAATAGGTTTCATGCCGGTGGGACACACCCATACACACGTTGACGCTACTTTCAGTGTTTTCTCGAAGAAATTGAAAGACATAGACGCTCATACTATGGACGAGTTCTTCGAGCTCATAGAGCAATCACACAAAAAGCCTCCCAAATGTATTTTCCTCGATATGATGGAAGATTGGATTAGTATAGTAGACCCGTGCGTTGCGTCAGACATTACCGGTATTTCGAAACCGCACTTGCTTAAATTTTTGATGGTTGGAGATAATCCGGGCATGTTGTACAAGGAGTTTTGCGATAACTACGAATGGTTGCCCGAGGAAGGTCCAATTTGTTGGTTTAATCAAAACCCCGATGAGAGCTATGCAGGTTCTTCGTGGCCGTTTGACCCGCCTCATGTGCAACCCCTTCCTCGAAATGACTATTTGAATGACAAAAATGGTGTTGTTCGATTCTGCGAGTTGCTGGAGAGTAGGCGGTCGATGTGGTGCACTTACAATGACCATGAGGTGAGTAGGAGAGAAAGAACTTTGTGTTACTGGAAGGGGGTTATCAAACATGGCGA